GTTTGCATTTATTTATATAAATTAAAGTATCTGTCAGCAGATGGTTTCAGAATGAATAAAGTTTATTTTTGTATTTTTTCCTAAAACAGCTGTTAGCAACACTCCCATCACTCTCTGTGTGACAGGTCTTTAATACATTTAAATATATTTACATCTCCTCAGACAKCATGTTGGAATAATCAGCTGATTTACATGATGTCACATCAGAACACCGCAAAGAAAAACAAATGAGATTCAAATCATCCAGTAACTGTCAGTTTGATTCAGCATCTTAAAAAATGAGTCTCAGTGAAAACGTTGAGTTTGACTGAAGTCCATCTCTGCAGCAGGAGACCACAGACGACTGAGGAAGAAGAAAAAACTTTTCTTATTTCTGTCCTTTAGAATACAAACAGAGAAAAGGACTAAAATCTGTTTCCTCATTAAAGCTTCATTTGATGATGTTAAATGTGTGATTTATCTAATTAAAAATAATCAAACAGCATCTAAAAGAAGAAATCAAATCTAGTGTTTACGGCAGGTCTTTCTACGACAGAGTCTCCTCGCTGGACTCCAGGTGGAAGATGATTCCGTCCTCCTGCTTCCTCCAGCTCAGGGTGATGTTCCTGTTCTTCCACTGGTCCTTCAGCTTCTGGTTCAGCTGAAACAGAAACACTGAAGCTCAGTCTGGTCTGAGTCTGCACAGGTGTCTGCTGATGGAGCTGTTTACCTGTGTCAGCAGGTGCTGCAGCACAGCCGGGTCATCCAGAACCAGAGAGGAGGCTTTCCCCAGCTTCAGCTTCAGCTTCACCACCTGCTTTGAAGGAGGAACTTAGAGAAAGAAAAAAGTTTCTTCAGTTTCAGGGTTTCTGCCTGGATTCAGACATGGAGTCCATGTTAGAGCTGTTCATGGGGACCTTCACTCAGGCTGTTTTCACAACATGAGTCATGTGACACGAGCAGCTCCATTGATTTCAGCAGAGCTACGGTGGTTTAGCTGTGTTCAAACTTAGAAAACAGCATGAAGCTCCACCAGGAGGACCACAGAACGTCGTGCTGCGGTAACTGTAATGGTGCGTTCACACCAAACGCGATTTCAGCGTCAGGAGCAGCAGGTTTACATGCAAAGTCTATGGTGGAGGCGCTTCAAGCAACGTCGGGAAGTTCTGCGGCGCCTCAAGCGCGATTAGAGCAGCGCGATTTGGACGATTTGGACGATCTGAGCGTTCGACGCTCAGATCGTCCAAATGCTCAGATCGTCCAAATCGTCCAAATCGCGCTGCTCT